TTTGCTGCAGATTAATTCTTCTTGACCTACTTTCAGTAGACATGGAGATCAATTGATCACTGTTCTCTTTGTAACAGCCCTGTACATATTTGAAGACTTATCAGGTCCCCTCTCAGTTTTCTTTTCTCAGGACTAAAAATGCCCAGTTTTTTTAACCGTTCTTCATAGGTCAGGTTTTCTAAAACTTGTATCATTGTTGTAGCTCTCCACTGGATTCTCTCCAATTTGTCCATCTATTTCTTAAAATGTGGGACCTGGAACTGGACACAGTACTTCAGCAGAGGCCTCGTCAGTGCTGAGTAGATCGGGACAGTTATATCCCGTGTCTTACATACGACACTCCTTTTAATACATCCCAGAATGATATTAGCCTTTTTCACAACTGCATCACAGTGTTGACTCATTCAATTTGTGATCCACTATAAACCCCCGGATCCTTTCCACCTAGAGTTTTGATTTTTGTTGTCCTATCTAATTTGGGGGATATAAATTCTGTGCCTCAGGGCTTAACAAACTACCTATGGTTAGAGAGAAACCTCCCCTCTGGGCGGGGTATTCTAGCATTGTCCATTAGGGGGTTTCTTGTACCTTCTGAAGCAGTTGATGCTTGCCTCTGTCAGATGCAGGATACTGGTGTAGCTGGACCATTAGTCCAATCTAGTATGGCAGTTGCTATGTTCCAGAGCTGATTGGTTATTGGCCTCTTTATCACTGGTCAGTGATACTTCATAGGTTAAAAAAAAAAAAAGGAGTACTTGTGGCACCTTAGAGACTAACAAATTTATTAGCGCATAAGCTTTCGTGAGCTACAGCTCACTTCATCGGATGCATACCGTGGAAAATATAGTGGGGAGATTTTATATACACAGAGAACATGAAACCATGGGAGTTACCATACACACTGTAACGAGAGTGATCAGGTAAGGTGAGCTATTACCAGCAGGAGAATGGGGGGGAAGGACCTTTTGTATTGATAATCAAAGTGGGCCATTTCCAGTCGGCCTTGATTATCACTACAAAAGGTCCCCTCCCCGCTCTCCTGTTGGTAATAGCTCACCTTACCTGGTCACTCTCGTTACAGTGTGTATGGTAACTCCCATTGTTTCATGTTCTCTGTGTATATAAAAATCTCCCACTAAGACCACATCCCAGTTTCCCTCTCGTGCTGTGTGTAAACGTTCATTGTACATACAGGGTATATCTGTGCTGCTAACTCCCCCGCCGCAACGGCCCTCAGAACTGGGTCTACAGACTTGGCTTGCGGGGCTTGTGCTATGACACGAAAAATAGCCACTTAGAAGTTTCCACTTGGGCTCTGAGGGGGATGTGTCTTAGAGCCCAGGCTCCAACCTGAGCAGGAACATCTATACAACATAGTGTGACCCCCCCGAGCCTGAGTCTGTAGGCCTGGATTCAGAGACTCACTGCCACGGGTGTATTTTTGCTGTGTAGACATGCCCGCAAAGTGCCCATATTTGTATCTCAGCGTTAGGCCTCCAGAACTCCCTGATCAGCTAGGCCCTGTCAACTCAATCGTGCCCTTGATGTAGCAGAGCCAAAGTAATTGTCTTCTTCCCCAGTCACACACATCATTCGTCCCAGTATCTTTTGCAAACAAGGGAGAAGGTTTGAGAGCTTGTTTTCATTTGAAAGGAAGAGACCTCTGCTGTGTTTCTTGGGTGAGATTCCTGGTACAAACTGAAATGGAAGTAATAATTAACTTTATTGGTGCCTAGTTTATTCAGTTGTAATTTCTCCTGCCATTTCTTGTTGACATAAGGTTTAGTAAAAGTATTTGAGGCAAAGTCCATGCTCACTTGACCTGTCTCACTTGTAACTTCCAGACTAGCTGCCGTAATTGTGATCGGTACCCACTGGGATGCCAGTGTTAGGGGTTCTTTGGAGAGGCATTTCCGAGCACCATTAGCTCTCTCTGCCCCTGATGGTGGCTTGTAGGGAGTTTGTTTTTATACAAGGCTGCAACTCTGAGAACCCAAGCTCTGAACCTAGTGTGACAAAGCTCTGACCTTGCCTCCGCAGGTCCCGCGTTTCCTGGTGGATTTCACTAGCCTCAGAGGCTCACTGTGACCCTCCACGTAACCCTTCTCTCTCTAGAGAGAAGTGTCACAGTCTACTGAGCCATTTTCATCATAAGCCAGCGAGGGAGGTGAGGAAAAGTTATCCTTCCTTGCACAGTCTCTGTTGTCTCCCCGTCTCAGTGATTAATCAGGGGGCAAAGGTGGGGGGAGCCTGGGCCCACCCTCTACTCTGGGCTCCAGCCCAGGGACCCTAATAGTATCAGCTATGGTAGCTGACCTTTTAGAAACATGACATGTACAATTCCCTGGGCTACTTCCCCCACAGCAGTCCTCACTTCCTCAAGTTCCACTTCACCCTTACCTCAGGGCCTCCTTCCTTGTGCCTGATATGGTGCGTACTACTCAGCCTCTCCACCAGCACAATTTCCTCCCACAGCTCCTGACACGCACACCCACCTGACTGGCTGGGAGGCTTTTAACTAGTTTCAGTCAGCCCCTGATTGGCTTCAGATGTCCCAATCAACCTAGCCTTCTCCCTGCCTTCTGGAAAGTTCTTAATTGGCCCCAGGTGTCTTAATTGACCTGGAGCAGCTGCCGTTTCACTTATCCTGGTCCTAGGGATTTGTTTAGCCTGGAGCTAATAGATCTATCTCCCACTACTTTTCCATAGCCATCTGGCCTTGCCCCGTCACACTAGCCAAACCCTTCTTTAGACTGATTTATGTAGAATGGGAGCAGTGAAGGTAGTGGTATTTGCACTTTAATCCATCAGCCTTGGTTAAGTGACATGAAGGATTTTGATAGCAAGAAAGATGGATTGATTGTAAAATTGGGACCTGCCCTTAAATCTTTATATAACCTTTGTACTTGGGAAGGCCTGGATCCAAAGCCTGTTGCAACGAATGGGGGCGGGTCTTTCCAATGACTTCAGTGGGCTTTAGATCAGGCTCTGTGAGCAAAAGGTAAAACAAAGACTGCACCAGCAAAACATGGCTGTTCAAATTGTCTTTATTTCTATTCACTGAGCTCAGTGCTTGAGGCCCTCAATCACGAGGCCAACCACTAGCCTCTGTGCATCCCAGTTCCCCACCTAAGTGCCTTTGGTTAATCAAACACCTGATGTGTTTCTCATCAAACATGGTGCTGTGTATTTTTACTCCCTGATTTGCACACAAGTTAACGCACATTGTTACCTCCTGTACAGACTGTGGAAAGCACAAAGGGGGGTGGGGGTGACAGTAGCATTATTAGTAGTTTATTTTAGGGCTTTCATAGATTCCAAGGCCAGAAGGGACCGTTGTGATCATCTAGTCTGACCTCCTGCATAACACAGGCCAGGGAACTGCCCCTAGCTAGGCTTTCAAAACGGCATGCAATGGATGCCGCAAAAGGATGAGCCGATTCCATTTCATGAAAGAACAAGAAATACACTCAGTAAAAAGCAGGAATGAGGAATGTCAAGTTTAAGCTGAGTGGTAACGATAATGCTTCTCTAGCGCTTTCCACCAGCGGCGCTCGAAATGCCTGTCAGAACGTTCACTGAGCCCACTTCAACGGGGTAAGTGGTTTCATTCCCATTCTACAGATGAGGACATAGAGGCACAGAGCTGTTCATGGCCTGATTTCCAGAGATGCTGAGTGCCCATAGCTCCCTTTGACTTCAGTTAGAGCTGTGGGTGCTCAGTACTTCTGAAAACTGATCCCAGAGGCCCAGATCCTCCAGAGTATTCAGGCGCCTTAGGCCGTGTCTACACTTAAAACACTACAACAGCACAGCTTTGGTGCTCCAGCTGTGCTGGGTAGACGCTCCTACAGCGACGGGAGGGGTTCCCCAGTCGCGGTAATTAATCCGCCTCCCTGAGAGGCGGGGGCTAGGGCAATGGAAGAATTCTTCCGTCCGCCTAACGCGGCCTACACCGGGGGTAAGTCGGCGTAACGAAAAATCCACGCCCCCAAGAGATGTAGCTATGCCGCTGTATGTTTTCTGTGTAGACCAGCCCCAAGTCTCATTGAATTCAATGGGAGTAAGGCCAGGTCTACACTACAAAGTTAGGTTCGACCCAGCTACATCGCTCACGGGTGTGAGAAATCCACCCCCCTGAGTGGCAAAGTTAAATCGACCTAACCCCTGGTGTAGGCAGCTGTAGGCTGGCAGGAGAATTCTGTCAACTTTGCTACTGCCTCTCAGGGAAGTGGATTACCTATGCCAATGGGGAATCCCTTCCTGCCAGCACAGGTAGCATCTACACTGAAGCACTACATCAGCACAGATGCAGCTGCGCCACTGCAGTATTTCAAGTGTAGACAAGTCCTTAAAGAACTAAATATCTTTGAGCATCTGGCCCAAGGTTACATATAGAGTTAGTGTCAGAATCAGGAGCAGAACCTGGATCTGCTCTAACTACTACACTGTGCTCCGTAGGTGTTCATACAAACCTTATACTTCCATGCATCCATGTGAAAAGTGGGCATTTTTATTCGTTTTTGCTTGACCATGGGGCATGTACTTCAGGTATTTCTGTGGCCTCTTCCTCAGATTGCTGATAGGGTTCCTGCCCTTGATTTCAGAGGTTCTGCGGAGTGCATTTCAGTCTGTGCATCATGATGCTGCTCTTATGTTCAGAGGGTTGAAGGTGGAGCTGGTTAAAGTCCCATTATACCTATTATACCTATACCTATTATTCTGGCACTAGCTTGTTTCCGCTGAGCAGTAAGGTATTTTACAGCCCGGTCTAGATTGTTTTGTTTTTCTATGGAGAAAGTTGACACCAGCATGTTCAAAACACAAAACAACTTCCCTTTCAGCTGAAACTCTGCAAGAAATAGGGCTCAGAGGAGTCAAAATGAAAGTGAGCTGGCAGTATCTGTGCCTTTGTTCCCAGGTCTCCCCCATATGGCTACTGCTGTTGTTTCAGCTCCATTTCTCCCTCCCCCACTGGGCGAGGGAGGGTTGGACCTGGTTCAGGATGACACATAAACCTCCAGGAGCCCCCCGACAGAGTGCATTCTGTAGAACACGCCCATGGGCAGGCCGAAGTTCACAATGGCAAACCAGGTGGAGTAACCGTAAAACGACTTCTCCAGTCCGTTCTCGAAGGCGGGGTGCATCCCGAATGCGGGCATGATCCACAGCTAGAAGGGTGGTTATAAAGAGCAGAGGTCAGAGGAGGTTAGGGTGTCCTATATCAGTGGCTCTCAACCTTCCCGGACTACTGTTCCCCTTTCAGGAGTCTGATTTGTCTTGTGTCCCCCCCAAGTCTCACCTCATTTAAAGACTGTTTGCTTACAAAATCAGACATAAAAATACAAAAGTGTCACAGCCCCACTATTCCGACAAATTGCTGTCTTTCTCATTGCTACCATACAATTCTAAAATCAACTGGAATATAAATATTGTACTTACATTTCAGTGTATAGTATGTAGAGCAGTATAAACAAGTCATTGTCTGAAATGTTAGTTTGTATGGACTTCGCTAATGCTTTTTATGTAGCCTGTTGTAGAACCTGGCAAATATCTAGCTGAGCTGATGTACCCCATGGAAGACCACTGTATACCCCCAGGGGTACGTGTACCCCTGGTTGAGAATCACTGTCCGATATATATATTCAGCATAGTCCATGGCACTGGGTAGGCTCAAAAGCCTAATGGACGCAGGGCTGGTTGAGGCAGTCACTGGTGTATCTCTGATTAATGGAGCAAGTCATCTCCCTAACAGAAGACATCTCAGAGGGATGTTTCCTCTCCTTACACTACTGCAGTCTCTGCCAAGTAAAACCATGTCTCTAATATAACCCCGCCTGGAGACCTAGTAACAACACAGTTGCCCCCATAGCCTGGTTCAGCTTTTCTCATGTATCTGGCATGAGGAACTTGGAAAATGTAGCATTTTTATGACTATTTTGCATGACTCGGTTTCCCTGTTGTATTGTGGCCTGACTGCATGCATAAAGCGAACTCATAGGTGGCTGTGAAGGGGGAGTTATAGAACTGAGCAGGCCGGGTAAAACACTGATGGCCTCTCAGGTCCCCAGCTTCAACGGAGTTAAGATAACAAAGGCCGGGCCAACAGCTGGCAGCAGAAGTTACCTCGCTGACTTCATCCAGGCTAGGATGTTTTACTCTTCCCAAGGCTAAGCCTGGCATCCAAAGGCCTGTTAAAAAGGTTCCCATTGCAGAAAAGGGGGGATTTTTGCAAGGGGATGAGTTGAGAAAAGCTGGCCAGGATGTATCACTGAAAAAGCTGAGAGGACTCACTCAGAGGCAGAGGAAGCAGGCTGGAAGCAATGAGCAGTTTCTCCCAACTCTGAGATGGGGAATCAGCCAGACCCGTCGGAGCTTTGGCTGGAGAGGTGGAAGTTGGGTAAAGGACTATGCAAGTAGGTCTTTAAATCTACTTCTGTTAGCACTGTGTACCTTAGGGGGCAGAATAAATCACGCTTTGTTTTGAAGAAGCTGCTTCTGTCTCCCTGCAAATGCACACTGCCACAGGCTCCCAATGAGCCACGCTTGCCCGGGTCAGCCCACTGCAAAATCAGTCACAGTTGGTACTGGGGGATGTATCCCAGGTCCTGGTCTAAGCGTGGGCGGACTGCAGAATTCCACCTGGGGAGTGGTAAAGGCCTGACCCCCGTGGGTATGCACTCAAAGACACTCTGAGAAGGGACAGCAGTACAGCTAGCCTGGTAACCATGACAGATGGGAACTACCCAAGTTTTAATCGCATCCTCAAGCCAATGTTATAGCTCTGTCCAAAGTTTTAATCACAGTTCAAGGATGTGGTTAAGGTCCTGCCTGCTCCGTTCAATAGGAATGTGTTGTATCTGGCTGTGTGGGCACAGATGTCATTGCAGACAGGTCCTAATACTGGAGACTCTTGATGACAAGGACCCACTACTATCCGCTGTGCTTCCCACTCTCCTCGTTAGGCACTTTTTATTCAACACCAAATGTGTCTAATAATGTCTAATATAGCTAAAATCAGGGCATCTGAGGGGTTTTTAGCTGCCTACATTTTGTGAAAATCTTCCCCCCTCCCCCCCGAACCAGTACAGAAAATCTAGCCATGCTGGAGTCATTCACTTTAAAAAGGGTTAAGGAAGTGAGAGGCTAACAGGAAACCTTGTCTGCATGGTAGCACGAGCCTCAGTCCTGGTGTGTAAGAGTTTACTAGCAGGCCTAGGAAATGTGGATGAAGGAAGGATGGATGGTTCAAAGGAAAGAGAAGGTAGGGGTGGACAGGTGTGTGTGTGTGAGAGAGAGAAAATGTAGAACCAAGTATACTCATTATATACTGGTATACTCATTCTCATTCCAGAGGGATACTCACTATGATGTTGCACAAGACCAGGAAGATTGAGATCTCCTTTAGGGCTTTTCTCTTCCAGTTCAGGTGGCCATAGGTATGGCTGTTGGCATGCGAAACCCTCCTGATCTCCTCTCGTATCTCTAGTGGGTAAACTCTTCTTGGGTCACAGCCTTCACGCTTCTCGCCTTCTTTTGCCTCCGTCTCTTCATTGCCAGGGGGTGGCATGGGCTCCTGGATGGTGTGTGACACGGCCGTCTCTTCACTGGATGGACCTGAGTGCTGTGTGTGGGGCCCAGCCAGGTTGGCACCAGGATCCTCCACCAAAGGCTGCCGGTGAATCCCCTCAATAATGAAGATGTTCTGCGTGATGTGCTGAATGATGAGGCTGACCGCGTAGGTCAGGGTGAGTCTGTTCAGCAGGTCTCCGGGGTTGGTGGCCACAATGGCAACAATGGAGAAGTAAGAAATGAGAATCTGGCCTAGGGCTGCTCCCATAAGCAGGATTACATCCAAGCTTCGGGTTGGGTTTTTCAGAGTATCTAGCTCACGCTCTTCCAAGCGATGGATGACCGTCCCAGCCAAGGCACTCACAGTCATTGTTGGTAGAAGCATGACATGGTAGGAATAATACATCACAAAGGCCTCCTGGCTAGGCGCTGAGGTGGTAGCCTGGATTTGGTAGGTCAGGAAGATGCAGATCCCAAGCAACAATGCAGATATGCCCAGCACGAGCCCGTAAAAGATGCCACGGAGCTTGAACTTGGGCTTGGCATGAATGGCCTGTTGGGGAGGGATGTGCCTACCCACGTTCTTCCACATGACGAACAGCATGGAGCTGCCGATGAGGCAGTATTCCATGTTGAAGGGGTACAGCAAGATGTAGCCCTTCTGGAAGATGCGGCAGGCTGTTGTGTTTGGACACATGCATGAGCTGGTCTTGTTGCCTGGAGTGAGGGAAGAGGAAGGGGGTCATTTGGGAGGCACGAGTAGCCTGGGAAGTTTTTTTGTCTATTTCCTGGCTACCTGCAGTGAGTTCCTACATACCTGCCTGCCCCAGAAAGCCTAACGATCTGCATGAAGCCAAGTGAGCCTTTAAGACTGGGGCGGGAGGTGTTCAGTATAATAACACTTTGCCCTTCCCATGCTCAACTAATCAGACCTCCCAGTCCACTCTGGAAGAGGGGTAATATTAGTTTCTCCATTTGTATAAGACACAGACAGGTGAAGTCACCTATCCAAGGCCACACAGCATGCCAGTGGCAAAGCCAGGATCAGTGCTAAGGCTTTTCTGGTTCCTATCTCCCTGCTCAATCCACTAAACTCTCTTCACATGCATCTGGGAGGTTAAGACCCCCTGGTAAAGGTCTACAACATCGACCTGAGGATTTGAGGTTTCTGCTGTGTCATGATGAATTAGTTACGTAGGGAGCTGATGGGGATCTCTCCCTCTCTCTCTCTCTCTCTCTCAGGAAGGAGAGACCGGACCCAGTCCCGACCATGACTACATGTAGACCTTGCCCTGTGTGTAACATGTATTCTCTTTCCTTCCCTAGCTAGATGTTCTCCCAGGAGATCTCTTTATCTCCAAATTTTAGTGGCTAAATAGCTTTCCAGGCAAATCATCACGTTCCAAATGACCCTCAAACTGCAGTACAAATCATTCAAAAAAATCTAGATCTCTATGGGCGACCTCAACCTATAGCTAAGCAAAACTTCCTCTTTTCCCGGAAAAACAGACACCAACTCCTTGTGCTTTAGTAAAGACATGCATCCCAGTGGAGATGATCCAGAAAACTGAATGGCTGGGGCCAAGGGCTAGTGCTGACCTCATGGATTCTCCATCCTACCTACCTACCTGTTGCTATTAAGATGTAGGGTGACCAGACAACAACTGTGAAAAAACGGGACAAGGGGTGGGGGGCAATAGGCGCCTATATAAGAAAAAGTTGCAAAAAAACGGGACTGTCCCTATAAAAACGGGACATCTGGTCACCCAATTAAGAAGCAGTGAAGAGTGAGCCATTCTGGAAAATTCTACACAAGACCTTTGAGCGCAGATTCAATTTCCCTGTGAATAGAGTCGTTGGTCACCGCTAACAGCCAGAGCAGGAGATCTGTGGCCATGGTCAACATCAGCCCACATCTGTAAAAGGGGAAGAGCACTTTTACAATGTGTCACCTGAGAGCGTCTCTTATGGTCTTTTGCCCTTAGCTCCTCCTTGCTTTATGGCGCGCACACACATTCTCCATCCTGTATGGTACCACCTGGACTCACATGGGCACACCCACCCACACCTGTGCTTACGCATACACTCGTGCATGCACATTCGTATTTGTACACATAAGCACACCCATTCCTGCACAGTCATAGCCATTCCCACTTGCAGTAATTGGCACAGGTTCTCACGTGCACTAGACTTACAACTGAACTCTTAAACCAGGGGCGAACTGTGCCCATTGGGGCTTGCAGCTGTCACAGGAACATGTGATGGCGAGAAGAAAGCTAGCTAACCCATGTAGACGTAATGAAAATGGGCGAGGTCAAGTCAAAACCTAGTGCCTCAGCAAGCACATGCAGTAGAAAGATTCTTGAGGTTGGGGGTTGGTTTGTGAAATCTCTCATCCTTTAATGATGAATTTTCCTGCTCGGTGGAATTGGCAGTAATCCTGCTGGCCACCAGCACTGGCATGGATGTCAGCTCTAATGTGTGTGCTGCAGTTGTGTACTTCTATCTGCAAGGATTGCGCTTCTCCAATGTAATCTACAACCTCCTATTCATGCTGACTAGGTCATTATCCTCCACTGGGGAAATTCAAGTGGACTGGAGATGGGATTAGGAAATCAAACTGGCTGATACCACACAGACCAAACAAGAAGATGGCTCAGAGGGCAAAGCCCATCCGAGGCCCATTTGGAAGAGGGACAAATTGATCTGCCTTGCTTTTAAATATAAAATCCTTCAGTTTTAAGAAACAAAGATCTTTAAAGCTGAAATGCAGATTATAAGACACTCATGGGTGGGCTGCTGAGGAAGGGAAAGTGGAGTCAGAAAGGCCTGGTATGGGAGTGTTCAAAGTAACATGAAGGGCTATTAAACAAGGCCCCTCCTTCTCTCGTCCTACCTGGTGAGGTTGTGCTGCACTTGGGTACAGTCCTTACAGTGACGCCATAAAAGGTATGTCTGAAAGCAACAGAAACAATCAAATTAACCTATTGTAAACCTGGCATCAGGCGTGTGTGCAAAGATGTGCGGGAGCGGGAGCCTGTGCAAATGCAAGCATCTGAGTGGGAATGCTTGTGACTCTGTGTGTGAACGGGTGCAGGAGTGCTTGAGCTTATGTGTGCAAAGACATCCATTTTGCAGCATCTGCATGTGGGCAAACGTACTGTCTAAAGTGCAGTCAGCTGTTTAACTACACTTGTGGTTTGATGTTGGAAATAATATTCAAGAAACCAAATAACCAAGCTTAGCCATTTAATACCTATTGCTCTGCTCTCTCCAGGAAGCGGCTCTCTGGCAGCCTGCAGTTCATCTTACACAGAAGGGATGCTCTGAAGTAGGCATTTAAATTGGCCATATTTATAGTCTGGTGGTTTACAAACTAAAATCACTTTATACATCACCCAAGACTAAAATCCACCAATTAGCTTTTCACCTTGTTGTTCTGTATTAACTTCTTCCTGCCTTATCTTTTGTTTTGGATCCCACATTCCAGATGCTAGGAGGGGCCGTGAAGTCACAATACAGCCTGTACTAGGACACACCATTCGTGTATCTTGTCCTTGACAGGTTCCCTATTTGCTAATGCCAAAAGCGACGTTTAGATTTGTGGAGTATTATGGGATAGATGGATAGATAGCAGGACAGAAGTGAGCCGAATACGAGTTAGTGAGCAGAACTGTCCCACATTCATATTTAATATAACATACGCAGTATTAATACCATGTGCAGAATACCTATTAATATGTGTGTGTGGGGGGAACATATCTGGCTACATCTACACTACACACCAGTGCTGGCGGCATGTGGTGTACGTGTAGCTACAAGCACAGTGAAAAGCAGGGATGTGGCCACCCTGTAGTAGTGTGTAACAACATGCATCAGTGGAAGCCTCTGGCAGTGGGAAGGCAGTGGAAGAAGGCTTCAGCAGCTCCCTGCTGCCAAAGCCTTTCACTGGTGGGAGGAAAGGCTCTGGTGCGGGGGAATCAACTTGAAAACCCCCTGGCCGGAGCCTTTCCCTGCTGCCAGAGTCTTTCCCTGCAGCGGGAAAAGACTCCAGCAGTAGGGAGGCAGCAGACACTCCACTGCTAAAAATTGCAGTGTAAACAGGGAGGCAGAGTAGAGAAAGTGTAGGGTTTGTACTCACATATGTCTCCGCACCCTTCAGGGGTGTCTTTACGTGCCTAAGCCGTGCCTCACAGTCTACCCTGCTACTTAGACCCATGCTAGGCGGGATACGCGGGTATGTAACATGCCGCCAAAGGAAGCATGCAGCATAGATGTACCATAGGTCTGGCTAACGTGCAACTGTATACATGTGTGAATGTGAGGGCGCATGTATGTATGAATCTAATCCTAAAAGAGAGACTTGAAACTATATTTCCTTTTGCTCTGCTAGGCACAGGAGTTTGCTTCTCAAAGAATCTGGGGAATTTGCATATATGGTTTAGGTCAGAGAAATGTCATAGTTTACAGAACTTCTGGTTGCAAAGCACGTCTAAATCATTTAAATGGGAAATTGATTTTGCCATTGGGGTTTGGCCATTGCTAACAGAGAGAAATCGTGATTTCAAATGGAAAAGCTTCCTGGGGGACATCGGTACAGAAACAACTGTCTGGGCTGTTGAGGGGCAATATACCAGATTTTCACTTATCTCTGTCTCTTTACTGACTTTGCAGAAGGAAGTAGGGGAATTTCTGCTAAATTCCATGATAGATTTATTGTTTTTATCACAGTAATGATTTCATTTTACTTTTATGTCTTTGAGTACTATTTGTGCCACATGTATTGGCCCTGTATGTGGTTTGGTATTTAAAACAATAACTGATACTAAAAATACCTTTAACAAGAAACCCCTACCTCTGATCTCTCCCTCCCTTCCCTGCCTCCCAGCTATACGGCAGAGTGACTGGATTCCAGAGAAGATGACGTTCCATACCTGAATACAAACAAAGATGATTTCTATGCACAGGAACAGGATTTCCAGTTGGGATTTGCAATGTATGAGGCTGATGTCATATCCAATCCTGAACACATGCAGGAAGATGGCACAGATTCCAAACAGCACTAGAGACCCTGTCCAAACAGCAAAACCAAATGAGCAAGGGTCCATACATGGAGTAAGCTGAAACTGGTACAGGTTTAGTAACCATCACCACATCTGCTTTCATGCTTCCTGTGCTTGGGGGGACTGGGAGAGTTCTAGTTTTGGGACTTCGGGGGTGGGCTTGAATTCAAATCCTGGATCCAGGTGCCCTGAAATTTGGGAAAATTTGAAAATCCCGTGATTGTTTGGGGGGTGGGGAACTCTGAATTCCGATTTTTGAACATTTGGGTTTGGCAATACTGGCTCAGTCTCTAATGAAGCTACTTGAACAATGCATGCCATTTGCCTGGACTACATGTGTGTGGGGCGGGGCGGCAATCCACCCATGATGGTGGCGGGAATTCGACTCTTCTTCTGTCGCCGGCGGCAATACGGTGGCCGCACCATCACTCCGCCTCCGGGTTCAGCGGCAAAAACGCTGGCGCCGGCCCTGAGCAGTAGAGACTAGGTCACTGGGAGTGAGGATTTCTGTGTAGAAATCTAGCTGCGCTGGATATTGCTCAGTAAAGCTTTGAGGGTCAAATTTTCAAAGCTGTTTAGGTGTTTAAGGATGCCCCTACTGGGCTTCTCAGCAGCACTGGTGGAGAGCTGAGTGAAGAACTGAGTTTTCAGTTTGGTGGGTGAACCAAAAAAAATTTTTTTTAATGTTTTTGTTTCAAGTTCACGTTGCAACACAACATCTGGACGGTGTTTTCCTTCCAGAACTACGTGCCAAATTTGACTCAATTTTGCAAATAGCTTCAGCCAACCCCCAAACCGCATCTTTTGGCAAATCAACTAAATTATTTGGCCAAAAACTGTCTCCCAGCTCTAGCTTGGCCCCTCGCTCCCACTGATTTCAACCTAACATGCTTAACTCCCATTGAAATCAAGGGGAGGTAGGTGCCGAACTCAGGTACGGGCTTCTAAGGATCCCCCTAGGCACCTAACTGCATCTTTAAGTGCCTAAATACCCTTTGAAAATCTGGCCCTTAGTGCTTCATTTTATTCCTGAGCTTGTGCACTAATTAAAATGTCCCAATAAACTAAGGACAGAGCAATTTGGAGGTGTCATTTTATAAGCTAAAGCGGGCTGGGCCTGGTCAGGACTTGGCTGGGAGCTCCACGAGGAAAACCCCGGTGCTGCAAGAAGGGGATTCGCTAAGCAGAAATCTTCCTTTTGAATCTGTATGAGCCAGTGCGCCAGCATGGCATGAAGGGGAGGACAGTCCTCTGCTGCAAAAAATGCTGTTAGAGGTAATGGTGTCTGTCCCCTTTGTGATCACTAAAGGTAGGTCTACGCTGCAATGAAATACCTGCAGCTGATTCGGGTTCAGGCAGCGAGGCTATAAAATTGCAGCATAGACCCTGTGAATGGGGAAAAAGAAAAGGAGTACTTGTGGCACCTTAGAGACTAACCAATTTATTTGAGCATGAGCTTTCGTGAGCTACAGCTCACTTCATCGGATGCATACCGTGGAAACTGCAGCAGACTTTATATACACACAGAGAATATGAAACAATACCTCCTCCCACCCCACTGTCCTGCTGGTAATAGCTTATCTAAAGTGATCATCAAGTTGGGCCATTTCCAGCACAAATCCAGGTTTTCTCACCCTCCACCCCCCCCCACAAATTCACTCTCCTGCTGGTGATAGCCCATCCAAAGTGACAACTCTCTACACAATGTGCATGATAATCAAGTTGGGCCATTGAGTCCCAGACCCTGGGTTCCAGCCGGAGCCTGAACATCTACACCGCAATCTACAGCCTGAGCGCTGCTAGCCCAGGCAGCTGACGTGGTCCAGCTGCAGGTGTTGAGTTGCAGTGTAGACACCTGTGAGGTCCCCAGGTTCTCACTTTGCAAGGGGAAGGATGATGTGGTTAGTTTCCTGGATAAATTCCAAGGTGGACAGTTACACTCTGCTGTCCTGAATGCCTTCCGGAGCTCCAGCTGCATGCAGGAGCCTTGGGCTCCTGGCCCGGGGCTGTCTTAGAACAACAGCCCTGGCACTTCCCTGGTGTCTTTTCATCAGAGGGTCTCAAAGCAGTTGACCATCATCCAGGACCTGAAGCCTCACAGCACCCATGTGAGGCAGGGAAGTCGTATGACCCTAGTCATTCAGATGGGGAAACTGAGACATGGAGGTGAAAAGGGGTGGGGAAGAGATGAAGTGACTTGCCCAAGGTTACAGCTTGAGACAGGCCAGATCGCCTCATTCCCTGCGCGCTAACTGGTAGGAAATGCTGGGTTGCCATGCCAGAGGTGGCAGCATTTTGATGGTAGGTGAAGTGGTGCCTTGTGTGTAAAGTGGTCTGAGTGCGAGGCACTGAACAAAGGTAAGGGGGTTGTGTGCACCACTTACCCTGCACCCAGACTGGCCCGGCATGGGAGTCCCTGTACAGCACCGCATGGGGCTTCCTGCTGGTACACAGCAAGTAGTAAATGATCCAGCAGAGCGACAGGATCTTGAGGATGGAGAGGAAGATCCCGACGTCGCGCCAGGTAATTGCCACCCTGTTGAAAGCCATGCTGCTGATGAAGGCGCAGCCCAGAAACACCACGTTCATGGCCAGCAGCCCCGAGAACAGCTGCCCGGCCTTCCCAGCCTGCGTGTCATTGTGGAGCAGAGAGGAGCAGCTCCGGTGCAGCCAGGACTTCTCAGAGCGGATCTTCCAGGCTTTGGGCTGCACTGACACTGATTCTTCACCATCAGTATCCTGGTTAAGGTGCCTCTGCTGCGCAGCTTCCTTGCCAGCCATGTCTCAGCAGCCACGATTTTCTGCTGTCTGGTCAGAAGAAGAGTTCACGCTGGGATCCCCTGCCTGGTTAAACAAATGGAGATTGAGAAGAACGCCAATGGAAAGGATGTTGGGGCTGCTGCTGTTTACATACTGAGCCACTTGGCTTCACATGGAGAAAAAGTCACATGTGAGACGAGTTTGGTGGCCTCAGTTTAGTCCCTGGCACAATTTATCTACATAAATCCTCCCAGGACAAGCCTTGAGTGCAAGAAAAGCAAGTGCCCCTGGGGACCCTCCTTGTTTAGGGCCTCTGCCCCTTGTGCATGCTTTGCAGCTTGCGGGAGGATTTCATCTTTCCTCTTGGGCAGCGGGATCAGAGAAGGAGGAAACGGCTCATTGCCAGACCCTCTTAGCTGTAGGGTCAGATGTTAAAAGTGGCCTCACCCTTACCAGCAAAGATCCCCCCAGAATGAAGGAAAGATGAAAACAGATGTCTGGTTAAAGGCAGTTTGGCATGTTCCATGCATTATTCTTTGCATTCTGCATGTGTGATCCTGGCCCTTTGTCAAGTCTGGATACTCCCATGTGACCATCACATGTGCTTGGAAGAACTGTGCGGCCAGCTGAAGTTTTTGTTGCTGATTAAGGTACCTTTAGGCATTGGGGTGGGGTACCAAAGACAGGCAGCACTATTCACACCCTGCTCCCCAGACTTCTTCCAAGTCCACCTCTGCATCCAGGTTTTCAGCTTGTTTCATGATAAGTATCTAGATCAGCCGCAAAGTTTGGATCCGTATCAGAACTTCTCCAAAGTTCAGGGTTATCTGGTTGTGAGATTTCAACTGAGGCCCATCTCTGCCAACAATTACACCATGCTATTCTTATTGAATGCATGAGACAACCAGCCTGCATGTGTCTGAGGAGCATAAAGCACATTTCAAAGATGTGTGAGACTTTCCCGGGCCTGCACCAGTTTGTCAACAAAAGATCCTGACTGCCCTCTCCCCCCATCCTACCCCCAAGTCATATCTCAGGGAGGGGGCAGAGCTGGAAGACTCTTCTCACTCCCCCCTCGAAATGCAGTGGGAGATGGTAGAATAAATACCTGGAGCTTGTCCCTTGAAGATGGTCAATTTTGAACAGAGAAGGGTCCAAATCAACACCCACAGGTCTGAGCGTGCCCAAACTTCGGGGCACTTTTCAGTTTGGATCTAGCTGGAGTTTACAGCAAGAATTGTGGGAGAACAGCAGCCACCGAGACAGAGACAATGCAGTCCATAAATGGGAATTATGTTTAAAATGGTGCTTAAATGAGTTCTTATGATGCAGCCCTTGAGAGCTAAGAAAACGTTCTGTTCAAAGCTGGTGAAAAGACCCGGCTAGATACTAAAAGATCCAGCATGATTTGCTCTGTTAGTGGGGTAATTTATACACATGTGAAGTCTCTTCCAAGCAATGGACCCAGGCTGATTCAGCTGCTCCAGGCAGCTTAAATACACCCGGGGAAAGCAGATCCCTGGGCAATCAGGGGCTTGCTCACTGGACAAATCTCATTCTGATCGAAAGGGATCCATAGCGATAGAAGACAAACCCAACCCCTCACTTTGTCAGGGGGGTGGAAATGCCAGAACCGCCCTCTCCCCACTTTATCAGGGTGATGATAAATCCCTCCTGGCTTGGGGGGGGGGGGTACGCGGTCCCAGACCCAGGCATCCTTAGAAAGGACATAGTCTCAGAGCCAAATTTCAGCAGCTGGTGCTAATCCCACCCTCACTCCCTCAGGGGGTGATCCGTAGAGCAAGGGGTGTTAGGGAGAGACAGGGTGGAGACACTTCCTAACTGGAACTACCTCCAGAATAACAGAATCAAAATACATCCATCCTGCTGGAGAGGATTCCCCAAGCCAGCAGAAAAGGGACCCAGCAGGAAGTGCAGGACCACGTCCAACCTTTCCGCCAATTCCCAGGAATGACCCAGAGAAAGGAGACGCCGAGAAGAGGTGTCCATACTGGCCAGAGTTCTCTATTACATTCTTACCTCCACACGGCTGGTGAGATCCGCAGGGTGGAAGCAGCAACTGGTGGGACCCGTTTTACATTCTCCAGGCACGCAAAGCTAAAATCACCCCCCGCCCCGCAATGACTGCCGTTCAGCCCCGGCCCTCTCCAGGCTTCTCTAAAGAGCTGCGACAGGCAGGCAAGGGCTGCCAACTGGAAAGTGGAACCTGGGCTCTCACAGCACATTGATTTTTGCCTGTTTACTTTTGGAATATTATTGTCATTATATTAATGACCTCGCTGAGAGGCTCATTAGCTCGGCAGAGGGCAGCCAATAGGAATCGACCCTGGCCGGCCCATGTCAACTGCCTGTTAGTTCTCTACGCAGGATGTGCTGACTGGTGAAAACCGCAAGCCCATATGACTAATGCCTTTTGAAGCTCCACGGTGTCTGAAAGTCACTTCTCCCTCACTGGCGCACTCAAGGGAGCTCCAGGTGGGGGATGATGGGCAAACTGGGCTGGCTTAAACAACTGGAACTTTCTCCCCGGTCTCAGAATGAACCTCAGCTGAACTGGTTTTGAAAAAAAAGTTTGGATCTCTTTGCACCCCCACCACCATTTTTCATTTTCTCCAAGCCTCTCTGTAGAAACAGACCAAAAGGGAGGTGGCTTTTTCTTAGGTGATACCAAAACCAGGTGAGTTTGGATCCAGGACTCGTTTTACCTGAGTCTGCAAAGTCTGAGGGTGTTTAGAGACATGGTTGTGCTGTTTGCACGTCTCTGAGCTGTTCTCTTGGGTTCCGGAAGCGGAAAGGTTGGGATACACAGCCAGATCCTCAGCTTCAAATCAATCGAGCTATATCAATTTGTACCAGCTGAGGTTCTGGCTCAGAATGGGAAAAAATGGTCTCAAGGTATTTTCAACCTTGCCAGAAGCAGAAGAGGTGATGAATCTTGGGAGATGGTGGTCAGGAGAAGTGTGTAGCACAGTATGGCTAGACATATGATCAGATAAACATGCAAACTCTTAGGTGCATCTCCAAACCAAATCACAGGAGTACCTGAAGATTAAGTTACCTGTATCACTGCCTGACATGAGAGATGGGCTCCAAAGGAGGAATTCAGAACCAAATCTGAATTTCCAATAGCACAAAATTTTGGGGTGTTCAGATCTTCAAGTGTGCTTTGGGCTCATCTTGATCTGAGCTGTACAACGCTTGTTCTCAGCCTGCTGTATGCTGCCAGCCCCACTGAAGGTTTCTTTAGACCACTGGTTTCAGAGGAACAGCCGTGTTAGTCTGTATTCACAAAAAGAAAAGGAGGACTTGTGGCACCTTAGAGACTAACCAATTTATTTGAGCATGAGCTTTCACGAAAGCTCATGCTCAAATAAATTGGTTTGTCTCTAAGGTGCCACAAGTCCTCCTTTTCTTTAGACCACTGGAATATTTTTGGCAAATGTGCGCGGACTTCTGGTTTTGGTTGGAAGCCAGGAACAATACTGGGCTGTTCTTAGCTGAGTTTGTGTTCCCTGAAACTCCAAGTGCAATGTATGGGGTGCAGCTAGAGGTGAAACGAGCTGGGAGAGAGGTTATTAAGAACAGAAATGGTAGCGCTGCAGCTCTGGGGTTGTCACTTTTACAACATGCTTGAGTTCTGAGTCACAAAGTCCCTCCCAAGAGACTGATAAGGAAAGGAAGGAACCATGGGGTGAGATGCAAAGTACTGTCCTGGATCAGAAACTGACTAAGGCACAGAAAACAAGGACAGGAATTATTTATTTGTCAAAAAGTCAAGGGTGGAAGTGCCCCAAAGTTCTGTCCTAGGAATGGCGTTTCAAGATATTATTGCATGTTATAAACCATCATGCTTCATGGCATAAGCCAGCCAGTAACTGATGGGGAGGTGGGAGTAGGAAGAAATTTCCCCAATCAACAGGTTATTTCATAATAATCCACTACACAGTTTCCTGCACTTACCTCTGAAGCATCTGGTACTGGCCTCTGCCGGAGCAGGATACAGGGCTAGATGGACCACTGTCTGTTCTGGTATGGCATGTCTTATGTATGGGCAATCAACATTTTAGATAGGTAATCAAGCTTCTTTCCTAATGTCCATTTTAAAGCATAGCAGGCCACTGGGCTACTCAAAGATACCATTTGGTAGCCTATATATTTAACAGAAAAAACAGATTTCCATATAGGATAATAACAAACCCAGAATCTTCTTCCCAGAGCACTTGGTGGAATATTGGGAGCCCTCCTGTGGATTTTAAAACCGCAGGCTTAGGTTTTCTGCAGTTGGGTGTGGGTATCTCCTGGGCAGGGAGACGGGAATTGGCTTTGCTGAAATCCTAGATTCTACCTTTAGAAGCAGAGCTCCAAATCCCGCCCTCCCCACAGCTTTGGGGAAACCTGGATAGGGATTGGAACTGGGTCATCAACCACTCAAATAGACCAGATCAACCCCCCCAGATCTGAACACTCCCCTGGGAAGGAAAAGAAGTAAATAAAGTTTCCTTGAGGAATAATAATTGAAGGTTTAAAAAAAATGTTTTACAGTATTCAAAAGTGGTTCATGAAACTCAACGCTTGAAAAGTGCTGGAAGTTTACAAACCCCTAAACCCAACTGGTTCAGCTTTGCTTAACCTTGGGATTCTGGCCTTGCAGATGCTGAAAAGCACCTCTCTTCAACTATAGCTCTTCCAATTTTCAAATGTATTGATGCAAGTTGACTCAATACAAGCCAGGGTTAAACCAACTTAAGTGCGTCTACTTTGGGGGTTGCATCAGATTAACGAGGTCAGGTTTTAAATCCATTTAATTAAACAGGTGCAGTTTTCCAGCATAGAGATGGCTTTCTTTGCTCCCGGGCTGAATCAAAGTCATTAATACCAGAAATAACCTCTTCCCCTCCATTATCTGCAGCATTCTGATTAACAGCTTTCTTTGTGCGCTCAGCATGAATAAGGTTACAGGCTGTCTCTGAGAGTATCTGCCTAGTCAAACTGTAAATCCA